TCATTTCCGTTAATTCATTCAATTTTTCTACCATTTTGTCATTATTTATTTGAATAATATCTAAAATATCTAACCCTTCTCGAGGAACTCTGCTTGGATTCAAGATAACAAAAGTCGGCAAATTTTGTTGTAAATCATTTGAAATAATATATTTAAATATTTCAACTAACTCGACTACCTTGTCAACTTTTTTATTTCCACCTTGTTTGAGTGATAATTTTTCTTTTTTATCTTTTTTTATGATATCCAATTCATTAAGTAACAATTTTTTGGCAGTAGATATTTCTTCGGAATTGTAGAATTCTACAACTGCATTTTTAAACTTTTCATTTTCGATGATATTTAAATTTTCGCAAAAAAACCACAAGAGTTCAGAAATCTGCAGTCGCTTGCTGGCCATTTTTCATACATACATACATACATACATACATACATACATACATACATACATACATACATACATACATACATACATACATACATACATACATACATACATACATACATACATACATACATACTGGACTTTAAAAATGCCTTCAACGCCTTGAGAAGAGACTCGATGTTAGAGGTTGTCAAACTTTTTTGCCCCAATATCTATAATTTTTGCCATTCTGCCTATGGCGGAGTCTCTTCCCTTGGCTACCACTCTTGGGTTGTAGAATCGTCCAAGGGGGTACAGCAGGGTGATCCCCTTGGTCCTTTGCTGTTCGCACTAACTCTTCATCCACTCTTAGAGAAATCTTCGTCCTCTTTCGTTTGCGCTTATCTGGATGATATCAGCGTTGCTTCGGACGGCCCATCTCTGGCCGATAGCTACGAATATTTGAAGCATAACTCCGTATGCAATTGGTTTAGAGTTAAACATTAAAAAATGCGAACTTCACTGCCAAAGTTTATTTCAGGTCCCACACGCGCTGGCTGGAATTCCCAGAGTTGGTGCATCAGAACTGAGTTTTTTAGGCACACACTTGGTCGAGGGCGATTATCAAATAAAGTTTTTTGACCAAAAGCTCTCTGAGCTTAAATTCGCCCTGGGTCGTGTTTCCTGTCTTTCGGCCTATGATGCCTTGACTATTATCCGCAATGCCCTCAGTTTGCCCAAATTAATGTACTTCCTGCGTACATCCAAACACATTGACCCTTCTAAATTGGGCGAATTTGACGGAGCCCTGCGCAACGCCCTGTCGTCGATTTGCAATGTTCAAGTGACCGACAGTGGTTGGTCCCAGGCTCAGCTGCCGGTGCGATTTGGTGGGCTGGGGTTGCTTAGCGTGGTTCAGCTGGCTCCTGTTGTTTATGATTTTTCTGCCGCTGCCACTCTCGACCTGCAGTCTTCCCTGCTCCACCGGTTTTTTCGGTGCCGCGATATTCTTCCCCCAGTGTCCGCCCCGGGGGACCGTACGCACGTCCAAATTTTGAACGAAGAATATAAAAAAATCTTTCAAAATTTGTTGTCTTCATGTGGCGACGACTTTTCCACCGCTCGTTTGTTGGCCATGTCCAGCGTTGCCAGCTGTGGGTGGTTGAGATCGTGGCCCAACACCTCTGTGGGCACCAGGTGTGAGTCTGTGAGATTTGCCATTGGCTTCAGACTTGGCCTGGTCATTCAAAATAAATACACGTGCCGATGTGGCGCTGGAGCGCACGAGTTTTGGCACCACGGTTTGGTTTGTCGCCTGGGTGGGAGCCGTCAACTACGTCACTCAGCGCTAAATGAATACATTTGTCGGCTCTTCTCCAAGGCTTCTCAAGGAACCATCCGGCATTTCTGCGCATGATGGTAGGCGCCCAGACGGATGCACACTAATACCTTGGAGAGCCGGCAGATGTTTGGCGTGGAATGTTACAGTCCCTGGCATCCTTGCCGAACGATATGTAAACCTGACAAGTAAAGAATGCGGTTTGGCCGCGGCCAAGGCAGCGGACGAGAAAATGAAAATATATGGGAACGCCCTCCCCTCGATGGAGTTCTTGCCAATATGTATCGAGGTTCTCGGCCCGATGGACCCCAATACCCTTAAATTTCTTAAGGCAATATGTAAAATGATCAGCGTCAGATCAGGTGACAGCAGGGAACTGTTTTTCGCAACTAACCACATTTCGTGCTTGTTGCAGCGGTTCCTGCGTGTCAGTGTGCTTGAAAATATCCAACTGAATGCCGACATGTGCAATTAACGACAAATCAAAGTGTTAATCCATTTGTTACTTGATGTTTGACGGTTCAGTGTCACTCATCATGTTTTGGTTTTAACATACATACATACATACATACATACATACATACATACATACATACATACATACATACATACATACATACATACATACATACATACATACATACATACATACATATGTCATAAACACAGTTAAACACACACTTCACACGCACACACACGCACAAACAAAAAACAAAGACTATAAACCCACATACAAATGCACACATACATACAAATACATACAAATACAAAAATATACCACATGCACACATACAAACACACAGTAGCATACACAACGGATACTCACTCACACTGACCCACCTGTATTCTATCTTCGGGCAGATCAGTTTTGAGGGAGAGGACCTCCCTCTGGTACACGTCAGGGTAATGTGCCTCCTTGAAGGTCTTCTCAAGCTCTTCCAACTGGTAACTCGTGAAGATGGTCCTGTAATTGAGTGGTTGATTGGTTGGTTGATTGGTTGGTCGGTTGGTTGGTCGGTTGGTTGGTTGGTCAGTTGGTTGGTTGGTCAGTCGGTTGGTTGGTTGGTTGATTGATTGGTTGGTTGGTTGATTGGTTGGTCGGTTGGTCTGTTGGTTGGTTGGTTGGTTGGTCAGTCGGTTGGTTGGTTGATTGGTTGGTTGGTTGGTTTATTGGTTGGCTTGTGAGTGAGTCGTCAACGAACCATATTTATCGTCAAATGATTATTTGAGCAAATTTTTGTTAATGCAGCCAATCAGCTTCATTCATCGTTTAAAACATTCATTCACATCTTGACAACCATTTGTCAACAAACCAATCCTTTAACAGTCAACCAACCAATCAGTTGAATTTCAAAATATCGTCAAAGAAACGTTTTGAGTAATTGCTCAAGATATTTTCAAACGTTTGCTGAGATTTCATATGCCATGCAAATTAATGAGTTATGAAAGAGCCACAATCATTTAAAAACTGCTCATTTTAGGTAAGCCCTTCAAGCAGTCGAGAGCTTTTGATCTTTCACTTACACTTTCACTTACACTTTCACTTACACTTTCACTTACACTTTCACTTACATTTGTCTTTCAGATAACGGGTAAGTTTTTTATAAATTTTCGTTGCAGTATTAAATGCTGTAACTGACTGGTAGTTGCATGTTTGGTATCTGGCAAGATGATTAACGTTTCAGTAAAATATTAAGACGGGTTCAGTGGTCGAAAGAAAAATATCTTCATGATCAGAGGAGCCCAACACTTGTTACACACACGGTACATTATTTATTCATAAGTCATTCTATGGAGAAGGTTAGGGGAGTTTTTACAAACACAACACAACGTATAAAACAAGACATCATATAAGCATATAGCAGGCGGGGAATCATTCGCATTCGAACCCAGTCACTGCCTCGCGGAAGGCAAAAACATTTTCACTGCAACAACAGTATAATTCAGGAAGTAATTATTCATTTGTGTGCACCATCCTGCTAACCTGTGCCTTCGTTTCTTGTTCTTTCCCGACGACGACCTCTTGCTGCTGCACGAATCATCCTCACAATCTGAATGCAACGAATTAAATGTATTTAGTGATCATTATTTAGTGGTGTGTGGTGTGGCGCAGTTGTCCCACTTGGTACAACATCATCACTACAACGCACTCACTCAAACGCGCAAACAGGGCAGGGCAAGCAAATGCTCCACCATGCCTACACACATTCCTGCAAACAGCACATATTCGTACAGACAGACAGGCAGGCAGAAAGGCAGGCAGGCAGGCAGATTAAAGTCAAAAATATTTTACTAACTAAAATAGTGATTACTTTTGGCTTGGGAGACAAGGCAAGTTATAAACTTTAAAGGCCGCCAGTTAAGTATTAATAATGTCTAACAACTCCTCATTGCAGGTAAATTAGCTTGACTTATCATAAAATAAGAAAACAAATTAAATATTAGTATCTTCAAACATACAAACATATAAGCTAAGCATACAGGAACACATACAAACGTATAAGCTAACATACATGCACAGCA